CCACAGTGAGATATCACATCACACCAGTCAGAACGGCAAAAATTAACAACTCAGGAAACAACAGATGTTGGCAAGAATGTGGAGAAAGGGGAACCCTCTTACACTATTGGTGGGAATGCAAACTGGTGCAGCCATTCTGGAAAACAGTATGAAAGTCCCTCAAAAAGTTAAAATAGAGGTACCCTATGACCCAGCAATTGCACTGCTAGGTATTTATCCAAAGGATACAAACACAGTGATTTGAAGGGGCACCTGCACCCCAACGTTTATAGCAGCAATGTCCACAAAAACCAAAATATGGGAAGAGCCCAGATGTCCATCGACAGATGAATAGATAAAGAAGATATGGTATATATACACAATGGAAAATTACTCAGTCATCAAAAGAATGAAACCTTGCCATTTGCAACAACATGGATGGAACTAGAGGGTATTATGCTAAGCAAAATAAGTCAGAGAAAGACAAATACCGTATGATTTCAGTCATGTGGAATGTAAGAAACAAAACAGTTGAACACAGAGGAAGGGAAGGAAAAATAAAATGAAATGAGAGAGGGAGACAGACCATAAGAGACTCTTAACTCTACAGAACAAACAGGGTTGCTGGAGGGGCAGTGGGTGGGGGGATGAGGTAAATAAGTGCTGGGAATTAAGGAGAGCACGAGACGTAAAGAGCACTGGGTGTAATATGCAACTGATGAATCACTAAATTCTACCCCTGAAAATCAAACAATCAAACCAAATCTTTAGGGGCGCCTGGGTGACTGAGTAGATTAAGTGTCCAACTCTTGATTTCAGCTCAGGTCAAGATCTCAGGGTCATGAGATCCAGCCCTGCATCCAGCTCCACACTAAGCATGGAACCTGCTTAAGATTGTCTCTCTCCCTCTTCCTCTCCCTCTACCCCCCTTCCCGGCTCGCACATGCGTGCTCTCTTTCTCTAAACTAAATAAATAAGATCTTAAAAAAAATAAAATTTTACATAAAACTTTTAAAAAAATAAACAATGGTTAAACATGCAATTTACAAATATCAAAGTTGAACTTTTATTGTACTGACACTACCAAGTCCAATTTTATCAATGAAGTTCTTCAGCAAGAAGGCTTAGCATGTGACTTATTTCATATGTGCATGCACGTACACACACACAAATTTGAAAACTCATGTTAGATTTTTATTTCACTGATCCTGTTTTTAAAAATGTGGTAAAACTTTCATTGGCTATATCTTCATTAGGGGAAGAAAGCAGAGTAAGATTTAAATAATACGTCTCAACATTCCTAAAAGCCTCTTTATGTACAACCAACAACCCAATTCCAATTTAAAACCATTTAATCTAAATGACTTTAAAATGGAATTTGGTCCAAAAATATAATTAATCTCTTTTGCAGTGCTGGCCCTGTTTTTCCCCACATCATGAAGATGTGACTGAGTTTTGTTCAAAAGCACCTCATGTATAAATATTACCCTAAATGGAAAGGTGAAGATTGTTGGTATAAATAAACTAGAATGGTGATAAGCCCTAGCTATAAAATACTTGTAAGGTAAACATTTGGCTGTTTAGCAGGCCCCAATCCCTGCTTACCATGGCATAGTCATACCGTATTAGGAAACTGGAAGCGGAGAAAAGCTGCCAAAGTGAAAGACTGCACCTGCTCTCACTTTATATCCTCAACTAAATTTCCTTAGCTAGTCTGTGTGTGGACTAGGAAGGAATGGAAGCTTCTTCCCTGCCAATCCATGTTGCAGTAGAAAAATCTGAAACAAGGCATACGTATACAGAGCTAAACATTTTTTCTGCAAGGATACATAAACTATTAACAGTTGCTAACTTTGTGGATCAGTTTTGGGGGAAAATACACATATTTTATATATGTATGATGTCTACAGTATATATTTGTGTAGTATTTTGCTAATACCTTACTATTAAAATTAACAGTTTCCTTGTAAACTTATATTCAAAGACATGTACAAGAACATTCATAGCAGCACTATTTCATAAAAATACCACCAAAATAGGGGCACCTGGGGGGCACTCAGCTGAGTGTCCCGACTCTTGATCTCAGCTCAGGTCTTGATCTCAGGGTTGTGGGTTCAGGCCCTGCGTTGGGCTCCACCTCCAAAATGGAAACTACTAAACTGTCTATCAACAGCAGAATGGATGAATTTTGGTATATTCACATAACTATGATATGGCAATAAGAATAAACCAGCCAACTAAAACTACAACCACGATTTGGATTTATTGCATAGTGGTGTTTAGTGATAACTCACACCCACACACAAAAAGAACTCAGACACAGAGAATACCTAATCCACATGTAAAAAGTTCACAAACAGGAAAAACTAACATTTATTAGAAGTCACCATAGTAGTTACCTCTAGAGGAAAGAGGCAGTCAAGACTACAAGAGGACTGAAGGGAATGGCCCAGATGAAATCGACACACTTCTCCCTATACCTCCTGCCAAGTACAGCTAAAAGCCCAGGACATTTTTTTTTTTAAGATTTTTTTTAATTTATTTGACAGAGAGAGACACAGAGAGGGAACACAAGCAGGGGGAGGGGGAGAGGGAGAAGCAGGCTTCCTGCCAAGCAGGGAGCCCGATGCGGGGCTCGATCCCAGGACTCTGGGATCATGACCTGAGCCAAAGGCAGACGCTCAATGACTGAGCCACCCAGGCGCCCCAGCCCAGGACATTAAACATAAATAAACAGAAGATGACTCTAAAAAGTGAAGAAAAGGCAGAGCAGCAAGGGAACTGGTGACCCAAGGAATCACATCCAGTGAGTTCTCTGGGTTTGTGTTTTGCTTCATGTATCCGAGGGACTGGTGGTGGAGGTAGAGAAGCTGACAATCTGAAAACATCAATGGGAAAAGACAAACTTACCCCAAAAAAGCCAAAGACCAGGAAAGATGCAACCTAGCAAGAGGGAAATTTTTAGGCAATAAATGCCTCTGTACCCCAGCCAAACACCATGGGAAAAAATGCAGCCCTGGGTACCTGGGTGGCTCAGTCGTTAAGCATCTGCCTTCAGCTCAGGTCATGATCCCAGGACCCTGGGATTGAGCCCCGCATCGGGCTCCCTGCTCCGCAGGAAGCCTGCTTCTCCCTCTCCCACTCCCCCTGCTTGTGTTCCCTCTCTCACTGTGTCTCTGTCAAATAAATAAATAAAATCTTTAAAGAAAAAAAAATGTGGCCCCAACACCACCTCTAGCAGCCAAGGCCGAGAGGGAAGCAGACCTAGATTAGCTAACTCTATTTTAGTTACTGAGGCCCAACTAAATTATCACGCAAGTTAATGACGAAATGAGCATTAAAACATAACCACCAATTACAAGAGTATTCCCTTTGACTTGCTCATTCTTTCAACTCGGTTGTATGATCTTTTCGTGAATGTTTTATTTTTTTCACAATTTAATGTCAATATTCTATACATATTTTCTATCTACTCCAACTCTGTTGTATTCTTCCATTTGTATAGTAGGCTGCTCCCTTTGGCAAAACACATTACACCATTGAAATATAAAAATAAAATAACTAGATAGTACAGCAGCTAATGACTAGCGAAGCCAACATTTCCACATTTTACCAAGTTCTTTCTCTGTGAATTTTCTAAGTCCTTTCTCCAGCTTACTAACTGGGGTCTTAACAGTAAGAAAGCAGTCCAAAAAAAAAAAAAAAAAAAATTCAGCAAAAGATTTGAACAGATACTTCACCAAAGAAGGTATACAAATGAAAAAATGCTGAGGTCATTAGCAAAGTGCAAGTTAAAATCACAAGAGGATGGTGACGGTTGCACAAGAGTGTGACTATATTTAATGCCAGTGAATTGTACACTTAAAAATGGTTAGAATGGTAAATTTTGTTATGTATATTTTACCACAAAAGAATTTTAAATCACAGTACAATACCACTACATACTGATTAAAATGACAAAAAGAAAAAAAACTCTTACCATATGATGCAGCAATCATATTCCTAGATATTTAACTTAGTAAAATGAAAACTTATGCTTGTACAAAAACCCATATGAATTTGGATAATGGCTTCATTCATAATTTCCTCAAAATGGAAACCAATCAAAGCATTCCACAACTGGAGGATAAACTATGATACATTCAATATTCTTTTCTACAACAGAATACTATTAAGCAATAAAAAGGAATGAAATACTGATACATACAACATGAATAAATCTCAAATGCATTATATGTTAAACAAAAGAAGCCAGACTGAAAAAGCTACATACTAGATGATTCCATTTATAACATCTGGAAAAGGTAAAACAAAAAGACAGAAATACATCAGTGGTTGCCAGGGTCTGGGAGTGGGATTGATCATAAAAGGGAACAGGGATATTTGAGAGGAGGGCTGAATTAGTCCATCCCTTGAATATGATGGCTACATGACTGTATGCATTTGTCAAAAATTCATGGGCACTACCGTCGATAGATGAATAAAGGAGATATATATATATATGTGATGTATATACATATTTGAATATATGTGTGTCTATACATACACAATGAAATATTATTCAGCCATAAAAAAGAATAAAATCTTGCCATTTGTAACCACATGAATGGAGCTAGAGAGTATAATGCTAAACAAAATAAGTCAAAGACAAATACTGTATGATTTCACTTGTACATGGAATTTAGGAAACAAAACAAATGAATGGAGGAAAAAAAAAAAGAGAGACAAACTAAAAAAACAGACTCTTAACTACAGAATAAACAGATGGTTACCAGAGGAGAGGTGGGTGGGGTAATGGGTGAAATAGGTGAAGGGGATTAAGAGTACACTTATCCTGATGAGCACTGAGTAATATATGGAACTGCTCAATCATTATATTGTGTATCTGAAACTAATGTAATACTGCACTGGAATTAAAATAAAAAATTAAACTATCCCAGACCAAAACAAAACAAAAACCTCATGAACATTAAATAAGGTAAGTTTTACTGTGTTTATATTATACATTAATTTTAAAAAAGACTTCCTACAGTACTATCTAAATAGACATATGAGAAGAACAAAGGAGAAAGGATAATGACATGAAAAGAAATTATTGTTCCTTCACTAATGAAGTTGTATACTGAAATGTATCCCAACAAGCCCATTAATTTCATCCAGCCAGATAAGAATTAATGCTGTCAGGGACTGTGGAGGAAATCATCAGCATTGGACATCAAGTATTTCTAGCATTCCATTTTCTGGATAAATAGTAGGACTGTACTTCCCTGCCACCTCTGAAATTAGACACGGACATGTGACTTGCTTCAGTCAATGAAATATAAGCTACAGTGATGTGTATCACTCCTGGGGAGAAAATCTGGGGGAGCTAATGAACACAATACATCACACTGCATTTTCCTGCCTCAATGATTGTGGAAGCACACCCTAGGAGCCTCCATCAATCTAGGTCTCCAAGTGACTCCAGTTAGCAGGAGCATCTCCCCCCACCCTGTGGTAGACGTAATATTCAGTGAGAAAGGAACCTTTTGTTGCTTTAAGCTGCTGAGGTTTGAAGGTAGTTCGTGACAAAGACAAATTAGCCTATCCTGTTTCATAAAGGGTCTCAGCAGCTTGGGGCGGGGAGGGACTAAAACAAGCACAACTACCACCAATACAGAAAGTCAATGAAAGAATAAACCTAACTTGGGGCGCCTGGGTGGCTCAGTCGTTAAGCGTCTGCCTTTGGCTCAGGTCATGATCCCAGGGTCCTGGGATTGAGCCCCTGCTCCGCGGGGCGCCTGCTTCTCTCTCTCCCACTCTCCCTGCTTATGTTTCCTCTCTCGCTGTGTCTCTGTCAAATAAATAAATAAAATCTTTAAAAAAAAAAAAAAAAAAAAGGATAAACCTATCTTGTATATGAAGACCAATCCCACTACCCAAAACCCCAACAGAGTAATATGACCAAGGTTATAAAAGAAAATGTCTACAAAAGGCGCAGCCTGGGGCCCTTTACTAAAGCTGAAATAATAAAGTTTTACGGTAGAATAAAATTCCCGCCAGATTTACATGCAGTAAAATTACAAATCTAGCTCAGGCCAAAATAAAAGCATTGCATTTTATTTGTTATGAATGCAAATCAACTCAGAAACAGCAAAGCAAAACTCTTCCCGCTTTTCTTTTCTTTTTTTTCCCCTCCATCTCCCCAGGCTCTTCCTGCTTTTCAAAAGCAAATTTCTTCTGTTTAATCCTGTGGGAACTTTTGTTGCTTTATTTGAATACCTAATATCTTCACAAGGCATACTTTCTAAAAGTTCCTAGCACAGTGCCTAGCTCAATAAATATAAAGGTGTTTTTTTGTTTGTTTTAATGAAAAATCTCAAATCCTTAGTGACTGAGTATGGAGACTGCCCAGGAAATGAGAGGGGGGGGGGAGAAAAGAACAACCAGTAAGAGTAGGTTCTCAAGTTCGAACCAGCTGCTGAAGTCAACACCCATGTTGGCTTGGCTCATGCCATCAGTTTTTCTAGCCAACAATTCAGCTCACCAAATATATCCTAAGTACCAACTATGAAAAAAAGAAGAAGAAAACCCTAGAAGTTTTGGGTATATGTCATAATTTTTAGGTCATTATCTACCTTGAAACTTTTTCCACATTAGATTTCAAAGTGTCTGCACATTCCTTCTGGTAATTATCCTTCTGGTGATAATTCAATAAACAAAGGACTGTTAAATTATTAGTAGTAGACTTTATTTTTCAGAACAATTTTACATTTACAGAAAATCTAAGATAGTGCAGTGTTCCCACACACACAGCACCCAGTATCCCCTATTATTAACATCTACATTAGCATGGTACTTTTGTTAAACTTAATGAGCCAATATTCACACATCATTAACTAAAATCCAGTTTATTCAGATTTCCTTAGTCTTCACCTAATGTCTTCTGTTGTTGCTCCAAAACCCACCTGACATTTAGTTGCATGTCTCCTTAGCTTGGCTAACACAGTTTCTCTTGGGTCTGGCAGTTTTTCAGGCTTTCCTTGTTTTTGATGACTTTGGTCATTTTAAGGAGTACTGGTCGGGTACCTTGCAGGATGCCCCCTATCAGAATTTGTCTCATGTTTCGCTCATGACTAGAATGGGGCTATGGCTTTGAGGGAAGAAAAGGAAAATGGCAAAGTGCCATTTTCATCACATCATATCAAGGGTACACGATTAACATGAATTATGACGGTTCCTGTTGGCCTTGATTACTTTCGCTGAAGTAACAAAGGATTTTTAATATCTGATTACCAACAAAAATTTTTACAATTAATAACTATGATCACAGTAAGTAAATATTAAGAATATGTGACTGAAAAATATTACTCAAAATGTCTGTAAATAACCTACATACCCAAAACCAGGAGAATGGGTATCTAAATTGTGGCACATTCACTACATGGAACATGGAAAAATGCATAACGTTAAATACGCAAAGCAAAAATAAAAAATGAATAGAATACACACTGTACTTCCTACCTAGTACTTCCTACTAGATAAAAACATCAAAATAGAGCGCCTGGGTGGCTCAGTCGTTTAGTGTCTGCCTTCGGCTCAGGTCATGATCTCAGGGTCCTGGGATCGAGCCCCACGTCGGGCTCCCTGCTCAGCAGGAAGCCTGCTTCTCCCTCTCCCACTCCCCCTGCTTGTGTTCCCTCTCTCTCTGTGTCTGTCTCTGTCAAATAAATAAGTAAAATCTTTAAAAAAAAACAAACAAAAGGGGCGCCTGGGTGGCTCAGTCGTTAAGCGTCTGCCTTTGGCTCAGGTCATGGTCCCAGGGTCCTGGGATCGAGTCCCACATCGGGCTCCCTGCTCGGCGGGAAGCCTGCTTCTCCCTCTCCCACTCCCCCTGCTTGTGTTCCTGCTCTCGCTGTGTTTCTCTCTGTCAAATAAATAAATAAAATCTTTAAAAAAAAAAAAAAAAAACATCAAAATAGCCTAAAAGAGAAAATACGAAAAAAACAGCCATAATAATTGGTCAGATGAGAACACGGGTGATTTTCTTGCCTTCTTTCCCCAAAGTTTCTAATGCTTCATTGCTACTTTTACAATTACAAGGAAAAAAACTACCTATAAAAAAAAATATGCATGTGCTAATTAATTAGGCCTTGCGAACATAAAGCCCCAATTCTACATGTATCCCAAAGTTTAGGTATTTTCTTACCGCTCCAGATTACCAGTAATTACAAACTTAACATTCACTGTACTGTTGCTCCTGGAAGCCTGAAAACGACATGTTTTTGGCCTCTTTGCTGACTAGGCTTGAGTTGCACCGAATCAAGGAGAAGTACTTTTGTGGGAAAAGGTGAAGCCATTTTCTACTTCTGGCTCTAAAAACAGCAGTGGCAGCTAATTGCAGGTCTCCGAACTCCTGCAGCAGTTGCAGAGATCCTAGTGGTGCTTCTTCCTTCTTTTTCAAGTTTTCTTTCTTTAATCTCTACACCCAGCGTGGGGCTTAACTCAAAAGCCGGAGGGAGATCAGGAGTCACATGCTCTTCCAACTGAGCCAGCCGGGCGCCCCCTGGCGGTGATTCGCGCCCCCCGCCCCGGAGCAGGGGACACCTGTCAGGTCAGCGGCGCGGGCAGTGGCTCCAACACTTACAGGAAGGGTGTGCCAGCTATCAACTTAGTCACCCCAGTTCCAAATCTGTCCTTCAGTACCTGTCCGGTGGTAAGTCACTGAACTCAAAACATTTTTTTAAAAACAAATTTGTCAGTAGGAGGTACTGGAGGGACAATGCAGGAGGAAGCGGTTTTCCGGCTCCTGCTGCACTGTCAGGAGGTTTGTTATAATGACCACCTTTTCACAACCCTACTGATAAGAACCCAAGACACTCCAGGTCTTGTACCCAACAGGGTACCCAACTCCCCCCACGTGCCCATCCATTAACTTTGGCTCTCCTGCACCCTGAGGGGTTATTTCCTGCTAGCCCAGAAACTGTGGACTCGCTCTGGACAACTCCACACTCCTGCACTGATGTCTAAACCACAACTATCAGGAGTGGCCCTACCTCTTCCAAGGCTGTCCCTACTTGCATACTCACCCTCTTGCTCAGGTACCCTTTACAGTATTCTTTACATCTCCATAGCTACCCTCTTACCGTAGCTTAGTAATTCAACTTCCTCTGGTTAACTTACAATGTGCTGTCTGTCTCTTCACTAGATCAAGACAGAAAAAAAACAAGATTTAAAGAAGAACCAATTGGAAGTTTTAGAACTAGAAAATACAGGGAGTGTGGGATCACTCCTGGACTTGAGCTCAACAGCAACGTTTGCCTCAAGAAAAAGTACTTTGTACAATTCTTTGGAGTTATCAGCCGAACTAGCTGTTTTTTCCTCCCATGAAACATCATGTTTACCATGGCTAAAAAAACTGAAAAAACAAAAAACAAAAACAAGTTATTCAGACAGATCTGGGTATTCAAGCATTTTATCACTAAAGAATGAAGTGAGCCTAAGAGCCAAGGAAAACAACTGACGATATTTGTTGCCAATGATAAAAATCAAACTTTCAAGCAAAAATTAGGATTTTAGAAAACTTGTGATCACCACAATGAGCCTGACAGCTTCCCCAATACCTAAAAGGCTTTTCAAGATGAGACAGGTAGTGATGTTAAGGAATGTAAGCTTTGATAATACACATGAAACGTGTCAACATTTGGAGTATCTGCATAACTCAATGATCAAGTATCCACCAAAACACCAACATGATGTTACAAAACCATTCATGAGTAAAAAAATAAGCCAATGGATTTTTAAAAATAGCTTTATTGGGGGAGCGCCTGGGTGGCTCAGGTCATGATCTCAGGGTCCTGGGATCGAGCCCCATGTGGGGCTCCCTGCTCAGCAAGGAGTCTGCTTCTCCCTCTCACTCTCCTCTGTGTGCGCACACTCTCTCTTTCTCTCTCAAATAAAATCTTTTAAAAAACAGCTTCATTGGGGAATCACTGACATACAATAAAATGCACTTAAAGGGGTTACCACTTGATAAGCTTGTCAATGATAAAACTGTCATCACAACTGAGATAATGAACATATCCATCACCACCAAAATTAACTCAGGTCCCTTGATAATCTCTCCATCCCACCGTTCTCTCAGTCCCATTCCTAGGCAACCATCAATCTACATTCTAGTACTATGGATTAATTTGCATTTTCTAGAGTTCTATGTAAGTGGCACATACTGTGGCTTCTTTCACTTATTATTTTGAGATTCATGTATGTTGTATCAACAGTTCATTTCTTTTAGTCACAGACTCGTAATCCATTGTATAGGTGTATCACAATTTGTTTATTCATTCATCTGTTGATAGGCATTTGGGTTGGTTCAAGTGTCAGGATTTTACAATAAAACTGCTATGTACATTCACATACAAGAGTTTGTATGCATTCATTTCTCTTAGTAAGTCCCTACCAGTACTATAGCTGGATCATATGTTAACTTTTTAAGAAACTGCTACACTGATTTCCAAAGTGGTTGTACCACTTTACATTCCAGCAGCATATGAAAGTTACTGTTGTTCCACATTCTGACCAACATTTGGTACGGTCATACTTTATAATTTCATTCATTCTAATAGGTATGTAGTGATGTAGTTCTATTCTGCTAACAGCGTTATCGAAATATACATACTACAAAGCTCAACAACTAAAGTACACAATTCAAAGGCTTTTTATGTATTTACAGAGTGAGGCAGCCGCTACCACAATCTAATTTTTTAACATCCTCATCATCCCAAAAAGAAACCTTGTAACTATTAACAGTCATTCCCCATTCTTTCTCTTTACATAGATTTGCCTATTTGAGCCATAATTTGGATCACATAAAATGTGGTGTTTCATGACCAGTTTCTTTCACTTAGCACAATGTTTATGAGGTTCAACCAAGTTATTATACATACCAGTATTTCATTCCTTTGTATTGCCAAATAATAATCCATTTTATAGGTATGTTACATTTTCTTATCCATTCATCAGTTGATACACAATGGGGTGTGAAGATATATTTTGAATTCTCCTAGGTATATACCTAGGAGTGGAAATGCTGGGTCATATGGCAACTTTGTAACACTGTATCTTACATTCTCACTAGCAATGAATGAAGGTTCCAATTTCTCCACATCCTTCTCCACTGAATATCTGTCCCTTTTGATTATAGTCATCCTAGTGGGTGTGAATTATTTCACTGTGGTTTTGATTTGCATTTACCTAATGACTAGTGATGCTCAGCATCTTTTCATATGCTTATTAGCCATATGCATATATTCTCTGGTGAAGTGTCCAAATCTTCGGGCCTGTCTTAAACTGTGTCATTCGTTTTCTTACCGAGTTGAGTGTTTTATATACTCCAATAAGTCCTTTATCAGATAAACATTTTGCAAACATTTTCTGTGGCCTGTCTTCATTCTCTTAACAGTGTCTTTCAAAGAGAAGTTGTGAATTTTGATGCCATCCAATTTATCAGTTTCTTCTTTTACAGATCATGCTTTTAATGTTGTATCTAAGAAATCTTAGCCTAACCCAAGATCACAAAGGTTTTCTCCTATATTTTCTTCTAAAAGTTTCGTAGTTAGCTTTTTCATTTAGGTCTAACATCCCTCTGAGTTAATTTTGGTATATGGTGAAAGGTATGGCTCGAAGTTCATTTTTTGCCTATGAAGAGTCAATTATTCCAGCACCATCTGTTGAAAAACTATACTTTCTCCACCGAACTGCTGTTGTATCTACATCAAAAATCAATTGTCCACATGTGTATGAGTCTATTTCTGGACTATCCTGAGCCATCAAACCAATGGATTTTAATTTAAGTTGATTTAATTTTTAAAAGGTGAGGTATATGCTTTCAGATATAATACTGCTTAAAGAAACTACCACTTGTTGAACTTTGGCATAGTATCAAAGGACATCAAAAATTACCTGAAAGTACCCCTCCCTTTTTCAAATTATCTGTGTGAAGTCCAATCTTCTTCATACACTTTAACCAAAACATATCGCAAGAGTAACTGCAGGGGCAGAGATGTGAATCTGTCTTCTAACAATTCAGACAAAAAAGATTTGCAAAAAATTGAAACAATGCTACTTTTCTCACTGAAGTTTGTGTCTTGGAAAATACATTTATGATAAAGTTATTTTTGTTAACACGTACTGCATTTAAAGTTCTGTTTTTGGGTACCTGGGAGGCTCAGTTGGTTAAGCATCTGCCTTTCAGCTCCTGTCATTATCCCAGGGGAGTCCTGCATGGGATTCCCTGCTCAGCGGGGAGTCTGCTTCTCCTTCTGCCCCCCTCCCCATCTCTCATGAATAATTAAAAAAAAAAATAAAGTTGTTTTCATTTCTAATATAGCAAAAAGATATCCTCCACATAAACAAAAGTCCTATGGGTCTTCAGTATTTAAAAGTATAAAGGAATCCCAAGAGCAATGGTCTTCAAACTGGTCCACTTAATAAAAGTGCCTCTAAGGAACTCTGAAATGGCTAAGAATGGGGGAAATGAAATTCACACAGGAAACATAGTTGACACAGGGCCTAAGTACAGAGCAGGTATTCAATATTTGATAAATGGAGAAGAAAAAAAAAGAGAAGGAATCTCCAAATCTTTTATCTCAAAAGTGCTATAATGTGCTATAATGTGAGATAAAATGCTTTTATCTCAAAAGTGCTTTACACTGAAAATGCTAAATCTAATTGTATGTAAATTTTATCTTATTAACCTTATTAACCTATCATTAAAAAATACACAAGTGGGGGTAGGGAAGAGAGAGAGAGAGAAAGATTATAATGAAGTTGTTACAAGAAATGAGCATACAGAAAATGTTTCAATGTCTTCCAAGCCTTCAAGAACTCACCATGTCTGTTATGCACTGAACTGTGTTTTTTCCACCAGCTCCACCAAAATTCACGTGTGAGTGTGTGTGTGCGCGTGTGTATGTATTTATTAGAGAAAGAGAGAAAAAGCAAGAGAGCATAAGTGAGGGGAAATTTGGATTTAAGATTAAGTTAATAAGGAAAAAGATATATTCAAGAAGACAGTGACAGAAGGGCAAGACAATTAATGCCTCACCTCTGCTCAAAACCCTATCTCACAAAAGTAAAAGTAAAGTCTTACCTACTTGTTCCCCTTCTACACTCCCCCTGGCCCCATGATCTCCCTGACCTCATATTTTACTTCCTCTTTGCCCAACTCATTCACTCCACTGCAGCTACACTGGTCTCCTGGTTATTAAACATTCCCAGCATACCCCCGTCTTAAAGATTTCACACTGGCTATTGTCTCTGCCTAGAATGCTCTGCCCACAGAGTATGTCTAACTCCCTCTCTTACTTTGCTCCTTCTCAGTGAGGCCCTCCTTCATTGCCACATTTAAAACTGCAACGCCATCCTCCTATCCTGGCACTCCTATTCCCTACAGATTTACTGTTCTCCACAGCATTTATAAGTTATGCCATATAATTATTTTCTGTCTTCCCTTCCTCCCCTACCAAGGCAAAAGAATGTAAACCCAATGAAATAAGGGATTTTGTCTATTTTGTTTCCTGCCTAGCCCAAAAGCATAAAATAGTGCCTGGCCTGTAACAGGTGCTCAGTAAGCATTTGCCAAATAAGTGCATGTCTGCTTGGTGGTCATAAGCATGCCAAAGCAGCGAAAGTTGATCCGTGGTGAGAAGAATGAAGCAGACATGTCTGAAAGCAGAGATGAAAGACCATGTGGTTCTAGAAAGATGATAACGAGCTATCTGGTTCTGACAACTTCCCATCCTTTTAACTCATTTCTTCCAAATCTACGTCACCTCAGGTTTTGCCATAGTAAATACAGAACGTGATCAACTGCAATACACTTCAACTCCATACCTTCCCAGTGTGTCTCATAAAGCATAAAGAATAACTGCTTTGGCACTCCATAAAAAAATTACTGATGATATTTTGTATTACATTTTGCTAGAGTAAGGAGTGACTTAGCAAAATATAAAAAAAAAGTCAGGTCTGTACCACTGGACTGAAATGAGAACACTCTACTATGGCAAAATGCATTTAATATCTTCATGAGGGTTTCATATATCAATACTTGCTTGCAACATCTATTCCAACAGTGTGGTGTTTTTTCTTTTAAAAATGTATCTCCTTGAGCAAAAGACAAATTTTTTTTCCTGAAACTGAAAAATCTCAGTGCACTGCAGGATCAGACTCCTAATCCATAAAACAAGGAAGCTGCATTTCTAAAGTATCTTCTGAAGTTCAAAGATTTGATGATAGCAGTTTATACAACCTATCCACACTCATACAAACTACATAAAAAAACAATATGAATGATTCATTTGTCCTGCGTAATGAGAATGGATTATAAACCTGTTGATTTTACAAAAATAAAATTTAACACACCAAACACTTTTTAGAGATCTTTAAAATCTAGCGAACACTTAATATGAAAGGCCAAAATCCATCTGGCAAATAATCAATTTTCTAACAGAATTAAATACTGTTTACTACAAATACAAAACATTCTGAGCATTATAGTATCACATACAGTACCCTAGAGAAAAGCAAGACGCTATTTTTAAGAGTGGAAAGAGTTACACTCTACTTGTATCCTTGGTATTTTAATAACATTTTTAGTCTGTTGGCTCAGATTAACATATTAAAAAAAAGTAAACATTATCAGTGTTTTTAACAATAGGTGACAATTTTTTTTTTAAGATTTTAGTTATTTATCTGACAGAGAGAGAAACAGAGAGAGGGAACACAAGCAGAAGGAAAGGGAGAGGGAGAAGCAGGCTTCCCGCTGAGCTGGGAGCCCGATGCGGGGCTCAATCCCAGGAACACCGGATCATGGCAGGGGCTTACCGACTGAGCCACCCAGGCGCTCCAACAGGTGACAATTTTTAAAACTTAATTTTCTTTACATATTTTTGTAATTTTCTTTCATTTTTACTAAGTCTCCTACAAAAAAAAAAAAAACTGTTTCTTTTATAATCAGATAAAAAACCCAATTGCATTTTTTCAATTTAAGAAATAATCTGTAATAACTAATTTAGCAAACAGAGTTGTTTCCAACCTGTTCTTCGCTATATCATGAAATCCTCTGTAATGCTCCCTTCCCTTCCAATGTTTTTTCAAGTTAAATTTAAATTTAATTTTGAAAATTTCCAAAGTCTTCTGATTTGGAATTTAGCAAAAGTGGGCATGAGAAGTATTAAAATTCACTTCCATTTCATGACTAATAGTTTCACAAAACAAATGCCAAAAATGGTTCTGTCAAAATATGTAAATGATTCATCCTATAAAGGGAGCAACAAAAGTTATTTTATCTATTTTAACCATAGTGCCTGACAGACCCGAGTCTGAATCTTACCTCTGACCTTGCTCCCTGTATGACCTTAGGCAAGTCACTAACAATACCAACCCTCCGTTTCCTTTCCATAAAGAGTGGATATTGCCTACCGTAAGATGTTGAGAGAATTGAATGAGATGTGTATAAAGTGTTCAGCAAAATAAACGCCATATACACGAGCTCATAGTTATTTCAATAGGAAACAGTGTTCAAGTCGATAAATAAAAATCATTTGTATCTTACCCTGATTATAATTTTACAAGGAAAAAAATGTTCAAGCATTAGGAGTACATGGAAAACCTTTCTTTCATAATTCCATATAAAATCGGATTCTGCAATCCCTGAGTTTCCACTAACTACAGCACCGTAAATGTGGTGCACAATGAGTGCCCAGGCTCAAAGAATGGAATTTAATGTAATATGCCAGCACACATCGTGATAAATAAATACTTGCCTTATTAGACTGAGTCATTAAAATGTGAATCCAAAATGACCTGAAATCTATGCAGATGGAAAAAAACAAAGTAATTCCTAACCTCGCAGCAGTTTCACTTTACCATTTTTTCCAAAGGAGTCTCCTGCAGCCACCAGCTTTCACTCCCTGTATATAACAAACACAACTGAGGCATAATGAAAGGAAAACTTTATTTGTAATCGTAATATCTAGGTTCAAATCTCTTATTACTGTGGGAAACTTGGACAAGCTGTTAAAACAACGAAGCCTGAATTTCCACATCTGTAAAAGATACTACTACCTACCCACTCACTGGGGCTACTACGAAAGATCTAGTGTAAACGCACGTGAGTATGCTTTGTAAACGGTCGCACACAAATGTCATTACAGCCGAGGTTCTTACCATCTGAGGAAAGACTTATTTAAAAAATGGCAAATCGACATCTACCAATTCATTACATATACAGACAATAGCAAACGTGGATTACTCACTATTGCACACCACGGCAGTATTCGATGATTCTCATCTAAAACCACCAAAACTGCAACCCATTAAGACTGAAAGACACATCCGCACATAAAGTCACCCCAGGCATAAGTGCATCTTCACTGGTAACCAAAGCATCAAGAGACAGGATTATTTATTTACTAATTTCCTCTACAGACTCACGGAATTATTCTGTAAATTCTAAAAAGATAAAAGCGCTTTAAAATAACCTACCTTCGGTGGATAAGCAAATGCATTTAAATACTCAAAAGATATTTATACCTTATGTACTCCGTTTACAAGGGTTAGCTTGTTCCAAAACAACCATACCCGAAACACACGCACTAACAAAACAAAGCACAGAAAACCGGGCTTACTGGTGCCAGGGGTTCAACACAAAATAAACTGCACCGAAACAAAAGAATTCTCAACAACCTCCCTCCTCCTCCTAACCTCGTTGGACCTTACTCTCCCACGTTCAGTAAACAAACTACTGGGAAGCGGGGACGCAGAGGGCAAGGTTCTTAAATAGGGCTCAGTCCACTGCACTCAGCCGTCACCTGGCGGGGCGTTTTTCGCGAAGTTTCAGAGTCAACAAAGAAGTTTTGTTGTCAGGGGGTAGGGCCTGTACGGCAGCAATGGGCGAAACGACAATAAGACAGACAAAACCGGGCGGAGGAAGGGCGTGGGATACACCCGCATACTTCGAGCAGCGATCACAGCGTGTCCCCGGGCACTGGGGAGACCGAGCGGGCGGGGAGGCCACGCCGGCCCCGGTCCCCGCGGCCCGCAGCCCCCTACCCCGGCGGGCCCCCGCCCCCCGGGCGCACGGGCGGGAAACGGCGGGGGGCGCCAAGGGGTCACCTTCCGCTCCCCCCCGCGGCCCGCCGCCCCTCGCGCTCGGCGCGGCGGACAAACGGCCTCAGGCGCCGGCCCCGCCGCTGTCACCGCGCGCCCCCGCCCCGAGGGGAGGCGCCCCCGCCGCGCCGCCAAGGGGGCCCGCCGCCTGCCTCGAGTTCCGCGGCCGCGGCGCGGGCCTGGCCCGAACCCAGGCGCCGGTGCGAGGGCGCGGGCGCCGCCGCTTACCTTCCTCGGCGGTGTCCATCTTGTCTGGGGGGGCGGCGGTGACGCAGCCGCGAGGCTCCCGCGGCCGGGGCCGGAGCCTTCCGGCCGGGGCGGAAAAGGAGGGAGGGGGAGGAGGGAGGAGGGAGCGGAGCCGGCCCGGGCAGGTGCGCGAGCTCAGGTGCGAGAGAGGAAGCGAGAGGAAGGAGAGGGGGAGAGGGAGAGGGAGACAGGCTGACAGAAAGCGGACGTGAGAGGGGAGGGGGAGGGGCGGGGAGAGCGGAGCGGGGAGGCCTGGGCGGGGCGCCGGGCGGAAGGGGCGGGAGCGCCCCAACGACGCGCGCCGTCACTTCCGCCGCCGCCGCCGCCGCCGCCGCCGCCGCCGCCGCCGCCGGCCGCGCGGGCGCGGAGGGCTGAGCGCGGGCGGGGCAGCGAGCCTCCGGGCTCCGGGCTACCTCGGTCTTGTTGTGGGCGGCGGGGCGGAAACCTAAGCGGGAGCCGAGCTCTGGTGGCACCGAGGGTGGCGACAAAGGAGGCGCAGAGGCGGGGGTCAGAGCTGCGTGAGCAGGCGCCTGGCGGCGAGGCGGTGACCGCGGCGAGGGTCCCGGCCGCCGTGCACGGCAGAGGCCGGTCCCTGGGAGGCTTAGGGATTCTCTGGGTGAAAATACGGGCCCTGCGCCCCCTCCTCCCCGCCGCGACACGCTAGTGCTGCGTGTCTGGAGCGGGCCCAGGAATATGCATTTTTGTTCGGCACCCGGATAGTTCTGGTGCACGTTTCGAGGAAGTACTGAAACATCTCTGCAATGTAAGAAGACGCACACTAACGTTGCCAAAATTCCTCCCAGGGAGGCTTCTGCCTTTGGTTGGAAGGACTTCAATAAACCACTTAGGCCGAGGGTTGAAACCTCCACCTCTAAGAGAAATCGGTTCAGAGGCGCGGGGCTTGATACACTGAATTATGATCGCCTACCTGGCCAGAGCTGATCTGCTTCGGCCTTAGGAGAGGCTGACCTCTGCCTCCGTCAGTAGTCCACCTTTCCTCACCATAAGCTTGCCTTTTTCTTTAAATAAAGATTTAGAAAATACGGTTTAGAAAGACCACCACCCTAGAAGCACCTGAGTAGAACCAAAGATGTATCTAAACCCCGCCCCCAAATATTTTAAACAATATGCAGATGAGTTGCAGAAAGATCCGAGAATGCTAGCAGTCTCTTTTCCATCTGTGTGACTAAAGGAGTTGGAAAGACCCCTCCTCCAAGCCTCCTAAATCAGAATGAAATCTGGAATAAAAATAATGAAACTTTAGAGTCCAAAAAGAGAGCAGCCCTTGAAAACTAATGTCACTGATTTGACTGATTTCACTCAATGTTACCCAACGCAGGAAGGCAAATTCTTCCTGACACGATAATGGAGACCCACTGATTTCAAGGGCTGAGCTTGAGAATTGATCACATTTAAGCTTTTACTTAAAAATGTTGATACTATCTCCCAAGAAATTGAATTTGAAGGAGACTCATTCCCCAACCCCCATCCCTCCCACCCAACCCCAACATGGGTTCACATCCCTGTAAGGCCTGTGGTGGAGCACTTCTCCCTGAGCTCGGACCAGGGGCACAGTTTAGGACCACCAACCCCAGTCTCATGTTGTATGACAGGGGGAGGGATTCTGTGAGACAGACTGAGATTTGCTAAGAAAGTACTGGTAATATTTCAGGGCAGGTATGTAAACAGCACAGCAGAGCTGGGGTAGGACTGGAGGGAAATGTGTGTGTGTAGTGAGGTGGAGGGCTCACTCCTGTCTTTAAATGTCTTACTTAGTGATGCTCAAAAACATTACTTGTAGAATCGAGAACTGCCTCAATGTTTTCTCGTTTAGCCTTTGGAAGTTAAATATAAGAGTAATAAGCCAATATTCATTGAGTCCCTGCTGTGTGCCAAGCATTGGTCCTCGAAACAGCCTTTTAGGATACATAAATCAGTCACACTTTTCTTGGTCGCCAATGACAGGAACCCAACTAAACTTGTAGGCAATGTTGGAGGAATGTACTGTTGATCTGAACAAATTGTGATGGGGGTCGTGATCCAGTGGGCCTGAGGGACTCCTAGAACCAGAGTCCCTCTCTCTGCCTCCATCCTTAAATTCTGCTTCTCTCTGCATATGAGTTTTCCTGCTGTAGGGCCAGCTTCCTCCACGTGCCTGGAGAAAAGGCCACTGGTAGCTCTCAAGTTTCTATCTTCTGCCTCACCTTCAGATGGGCCGAGGGTGATGATCTATAGTGCCAAGTTAAAAATTCCCAGGGAAGGACAGGTATTGGTCCAGGTAGGTGCCCATCCCTGAACCAAATGATTGTGCTAAAGAGCTAAGATCACGGACTCTGCCACTGAACTACATTATTGAGGTGGAGAGAGGAACATTTCCCCTGAGAAAGGAGAGGACAAAATAATAGATGTGCATTATATTAGAATTACTGTTTTCAAATGAGAACACCAACATTATATAACAATATTTTCATTTGCCACCCTTTATCCGAAGAAACCAATGTTAAAATGGGTACAGAATTTCAATCTGGAACAAATGTTATTTTGATCAAAAGAAACACTTAAAGGTATAGCATACACATGGTTCCAGCCTCATTTGTGTGTGGGTGTCTACTGTGTCATGAGGATATTCTAGTCTAGTAATGCTGGGTTTCCATATAGCAATAAAATGAGCAAGAGGAGACATGTAGGAAAACAGAGTATAATATTTTGGGCACAAACTGTAACAATAACAATAATTAACCAAACTCCTTATTATGTCCGATGAACATCAATAGCCATTCTGTGTAGTAAATATTACACCCATTTTACAGATGAGGAATCTGAGACTCACAGTTGATAAGTAACTAGCTCTTGGCCACATACATAGAAGAGGAACCAGAATTAAAGCACAGGTCTATCCAGCTGCAGGCCTCCCACATTTTGAACCTCACCAGTTTGTCATTAGCAGCCACCCTCTACACTGACATTAAACTCAACTTTTTACTGTGAGCCCATGTTTATATAGAAACCCATGACTTTGCAACAGTTGCACAGAATTGCTGCTGAACAAGCATAGATATGGCAATTAGGCAAAATGCCTCACTCTAAGCTTAAAATTGTTAACATTAACAAATTATTGGGGCGCCTGGGTGGCTCAGGCGTTAAGCATTGGCCTTCAGCTCAGGTTGTGATCGCAGGGTCCTGGGATCCAGCCCCTTATCAGGCTCCCTGCTCCGCGGGAAGTTTGCTTCTCCCTCTCCCACTCCCCCTGCTTGTGTTCCCTCTCTCGCTGTGTCTGTCAAATAAATAAATAAAATCTTTAAAAAAATAAATTATTGAAGGCAATTTATGGCATTATCTAAATATTAAAATCTTCCTATTTTCTCTTCCCTTTTCATTGTCCCTTCCTTCCTGTCTTCCCTTTCCATTCCATCTTCCCTACCCCTCCATCTTTCTTTTCTATTTTCCTTGCCTTCCACAACAGCGATGTAGGCAAAAACATGGGGACCAAAGGAAGAGGCATGCAGGTTGGACAACTGATTGTGTTGAGCAAATAAGTAAAGATATTGAGAATAACGATGGTCAGATTTCCCACATTGGAGAAAATACTAATGTGGAAAGGGAAAGGTTAGAAAGAACCCTGAGGTGTTGGATTGGAAACATAGCTATCATTATGAACTCACTTTAAAAAATAAGAGCAGATAGGGGCGCCTGGGTGGCTCAGTCGTTAAGCGTCTGCCTTCGGCTCAGGTCATGATCCCGGGGTCCTGGGATAGAGCCCCGCATCGGGCTCCCTGCTCAGCAGGAAGCCTGCTTCTCCCTCTCCCACTCCCCCTGCTTGTGTTCCCTCTCTTGCTGTGTCTCTGTCAAATAAATAAATAAAATCTTTAAAAAAAATAAATAAGAGCAGATAAAGAAATTTATATACGTGTGTGTCCATGTATTATATATAATACATATTAAATATTACATATACTGGGACTGTATATATATTAAAATACATACTGAGATATATATATATATATATACATTTCCATATTGGGACAATTGGCAAAATTGAAATTTGAATAGGGTCTTTGAATGTTAATGTATGTTAATGTTGTATCAATATTGATTTCCTGACTTCTTCAGAGATCCTTGTTTAGTTAAATACGTACTAGAGTGTTTAGGTTTGATGTAGGATTAGGC